AATCTCGCAGCAGAAAAGACCTATAATAACCTAGATGTGTCTGTGACTAAAGCCCTGCAACATCGATCCCATTACTTTGAAGGCGTTCTCAAGTGCTACCTGCATGAGACTCTGGAGACCATCATCAACAGGCTGGTAGAAGCAGAGGTAGGAAGTCTAGTGACCACCAAGCATCTGGGGAGCACAGCCTTGAGAAGGGGGTTTGGCAAGGAGGGTAAAGTCTTGACGGACTCACCCTGAGACTGACACTAAACATTCCCTTTCTCCCTGTTGCTCTATGCCAGGTTCACCGACTTGTCGTAGTGGATGAGAATGATGTGGTCAAGGGAATTGTATCACTGTCTGATATCCTGCAGGCCCTGGTGCTCACAGGTGGAGAGAAGAAGCTCTGAGCTGGGGGAAGGGGTCAGGTATCACCAGGGGATGTGCCCCACTCACTGCTAGAAGCTCTGGGAATCAGGTGAAACTTTTGAGGACTGTGACTCTGTTCCCTGCTCAGGAGCCCCCTACCCTTCTATCTGGGTTATGTGAGGCATAGTGGGGGAAGAAGAATGGATTTTTAGCTGCCCTTACCCTGTCACATATACTAGAAGAAAGCTAGCCAATTCTTGCCCTGTCCTTTTAGATATAACCCCCTTGCTGGGTGAACTATGGGCTTTGTGCCCCTCAGGCAAATTTTGATCTCTAAGAGATCCCCAGACCTCACCCTGCCTTTGCTTCCATCTCTGCCGTGACTCTACCCAAAGATAATAGCACAAAAAAACTCTTCATAAAGGTATTTGTATTCATCCTCTTTCATGCCATTTGGAGGAGGCTGGGTCAACATAGTGACACTTCCCATAATATGAGCGGGGAGGAATGTAGGGAGGCCTTTGGGTTCTTGTGCTGCATGCAGATGAAGGGAGATGGGGCTTAGGTGGAGGAGGAGGACACAGTGATTAGCCAAGATTATTGCTTTTCATGGCAAATCTAATTAAATGACAAGAATCTTGTCATGGTATTGCAGTGTTTTGTTTTGGTTTTTTTGCGGTTGACAGACACTACTCCTCCAGTCTTCCTACTTTACGTGTATGGCTTCTTCAACTCACCATTAATAACACAGTAATAATAGCGCACCTGCATATAACCACATGCTGGACATTATTCTCAAAGCTTTACATATATTAACTCACTTGATCCTCAGAACAATAGTAGATACTATTCAAGTTTTACAGATTTTAGAAAACTGAGGCACAGAGAAGCTAAGTAAGTAGCCCAAGATCACACAGCTACTAAAAAGTAGAGCTAGGATTTGAACCCAAATAGTCCAGCCCCAGGGTTCATGTTCTTTTCTACTATAGAAGAGTTACTACCTCTCTGATTTTCCTTTCACAGCTGTTCCCCATCCTATTTCCTATAGTTCTCCTTATTATCTTTCTTTTCCTTCTACCTGGACAATAGCTGAAACCCAAGGAAAATCCCTTGACAGTGTTAGCTTTCCACCCAACCTCGCCTAAGGGATTTAGAGGAATCCCTTAGTTCATTCACTCCTCCCCTGCACTGGAGCTGCTGCCATGGTTGCCAGGAATCATTGTTAAGTCTCCAGTTTTCCCCCAACAAATCCCAGGCATCTGGACCCTAACATGGACCTTTAGAGTGAACCCAGATATCCTTGATGACTTTTTGGAAAGCTAACACTGTTACAAGATTTTCCCTCAAAGGAGACTTAAGGCTCTCCTTTAGGAGATCATCATCAGCTCTACTTAGGGAAGGTTGGACTATGTTTAGATTTTGTTGAGCTGGCAATATCTTTGAACCTACAAATCCCTTGCTTTTCTTTTGTTTGTTTTTTTTTTGAGACAAAGTCTCACTTTATCACCCTCAGTAGAGTGCCATGGCATCACAGCTCACAGCAACCTCCAACTCCCAGGCTTAGGCCATTTTCTTGCCTCAGTCTCATAAGTAGCTGGGACTATAGGCACCTGCCACAACGCCCAGATATTTTTTTTTTTGTTGTTGTTGTTGTTGCAGTTTGTCTCGGGCCAGGTTCAAACCCGCCACCCTCGATATTTGAGGCCGGCGCCCTACCCACTGAGCCACAGGCACTGCCAAACCCCTTACTTTTCTTCCAAGTTGAGAATGAATTAGAGGGCAGGGGGAAGAAGGGAGAACAGCAAGATGATGGTCATCCAATCAACCCCACTCCCTGGACTGAAACCATGTGCACCCAAACTAGCACCAAACACTGTAACAACTACTAGACTGGGTACCATCTCACCAGTGCCTTGCAGGTATGATTCAATTTCCCATCCAAGCCAGGAGCAATTTCAGAGTAATACCTTGCCCCTACCGCCACTGTGCCTAACCTTTAGCCATATCATACTGGTTCCTTCGATCCAGGCCTGCTGATGGAACACAGGGAAAAGCATAAAGGCCCTTGTCAGAGCTCAAATTTTAGTGCTGCATCAAGGCTGTAGAGAAACACTTGCTTTTGCATTCACCTCTTCACAGCCCTCACAGCACATTCCCAAAGTTGGGGGAGGGAGGCTTCGAGTTATTAGAATTAGGGTATGTTTATATGTGTGGGGGTGGATACATGGTGGAAGGTACAGATGTCTCCTTATGTCACATTCCCTCATGAAGGAGGATTTGTCTAGGAAGGAGGCAAGGACTTTAAAAAGCCTTAGGTCTAGTGGGATCCAGGGTGGAAGGCAGCATCTTCACGCGAACAGTCACATTGCAACTGGTAGGTGCGTGGAATCAAGAGAGGTAAAGTGGATGGGTCAAGGGATATTTGGGTTCTTTCGAAAGGTTGGGGTTAGGGTCAGGGCTATTGGGCTTTTTCTCAGTCAATCTCTGTGTCTTAACAGCCCTTATGGCTCTCACCATCTTAAAAGGGAGGGTCTGTACCCAAAAGGCTCCATGTATTATAGTGGAAAACAAATTGGGATCTCTTGCTTCTCCCATTTTCCCCTAAAATTCAACTAGTCAGTCTCAGAGTTTGAGGATAGAGCTGAGAGAAAGACAAGGGGTAAAAATTGGGAGCCTCATAGGCTTTTATTTTTGCCTATTACCCTCAGAAGAGGCAAATTATTTCTCCTTCTTGAGGAACCGTTGCCATACAAACTCTCTTTCCCCACTCCCTGCACCCCTCCCCTCCACTGGAGCCGCTGCCATGGTTGCCAGGCATGGTTGCTAAGTCTCCGCATGGAAGGGTTGGCGTGGGCTGTGCTGCCACTAACATTACCATGGTGAATCAGGGGACACCTGGTATAGGCTTAGAGGGAGGGTTCATGCAGATAAGTGACAATCCCCAGGACAGAATGAGCCCCAAAGGTGAGCATCTTGAGCACTGCTTCAGGTGGGGGCTGTGTAAACTAGGCATTGTGGCAGGGGTGGGGAAGCTCTACACAGAAAAGTAGAGGCTACTTTTATCATTTTAGTTGCTAGGGGTTTAATTTTGCCAAGGAAACACACTATTCCCCCTCTGTCCCTCTGTAAGGGTGCAAGTGCATAAGCACTCTGTTCTATCCTCCATAGCTGGGCAGAACTGTGTAGGCACAGAACAATGTGACCCCTAAATCCTGGCTTATGGACTGGGGAGAGTCTGCTGCCAGGTGAAGTTCTGCTAGGTGTCCAAGGACAAACATCTAGAAAGGGATGGTGGGCAGCTTGGGTGGCCAAGACAGATTCCTGGGTCCTGTTGTACCAGCAAGTCCTGGGCAGCAGCACTGAGAAGGTGAGGAGTTAAAGGTGTAGGGGTCACCCTTTTTGAGCTTAGGGAAGGCAGCTTTCCCTGAATCACAAAAGCTTCAGTGAAAGCCACCGCCTCCTCTCTCCGCTGCATGGGAGCTGGTTACTCATCTCTGTACCCAAACGCTACTGCCGCTAAAAATAGCCCCCCAGCCCATGGGCCAGCCCCTCCTGCACCCCAACCCCATGGAAACCAGCAGAGTGGCTGGCGGCAGAGACCTTGAGTTCTATTCTCACCACTCCCTGTTGAGGAAACCGAAATCTAAAGCAGGAAGTCAGGCAGAACCTTGGTGGTCTAGGGACCTGGCAAGCTGGAAAATAAAGGGTTAAAATGGCAGGAAGGTTGAAGAAAGGGTGGGGGCACTGTCATTTTAGCTAGAATCTTAAGTCCCTCCCTCACCCACTCCTACAGTCCCATCAGGCTTGGGGGACAACAGCAGTGGGAAGGGGCGTCCAATCCCGGGCCCCAGGGGGCGGCCGTGCACATGGGGGAGGTAGCAACGCGGTGCCGTCTGCGCCGTGTCACATGCGCGCGCACACACACAGACAGGCACACACGTGTGCCTGGGTATATATAGTTCCCAGTTCCTGGGCCCGCCGCTCTGCAGTGGGCGCCGGCTCCCTGGGCTGGGAGGGGGCTGCTGGGGCGGGTGGGAGGGTGGGGGGCCGGGGTGGGGTGGGGCAGGATGCTGGATGGCCAGCTATTTTCCAAGGGGCCCGACAGCCCCCAGGAGCTCCAGAATGAGGAGTCCAGCAGATGCCTCTGGGTGCAGAAGTCCAAGCTGTTGGTGATAGAAGTGAAGACTATCTCCTGTCATTATAGTCGCTGCGCCCCTTCTCGACAGCCCATGGACTTCCAGGCCAACCACTGGGCTCGCGGGTCCCAGAGCCGCACGTGAGTTAAGGCGGGGTGAGGGGAAGAGAGTGGTGGGGCGGGGTGTGGGGTCTGGACCTCCCTGCAGGCGCCAGCTTGTATTGCTGGTCCCCCTTCTCTTTCCCACGCCTCCCTCTCCCACCCCCTCCCGAGGGCTGGGGCCTGACTCTTCCCGTGTTGTTTGGGGGACAGGGTGGGCGTGAGAAAGGGCAGGAGGTGAGATGGGGCAGGCGCTCTTAAAGTGTGCACGGAGAGATGGCGAAGAGTCCCGCTTCGACTTCAGTCCTAACATATACGCACGTGCACACGCGTGCACACTCACACGCACCCCTTCACATGGCTGCCCCAGGTGGTCTCCAGTGCTCCCAGCTCCCCGGACCTCGGCTCCCTTTCCCCACAAACTGCTCACCTGGGTTCCTGCTCATTGTCCCAGGTGTGGGCCCCGCCCGGGATCCCCTGAGGTGCCGCCCCGCCGGCCCTGGGCCTCCAGGGTGCTGCAGGAGGCGACCAACTGGCGGGCGGGGTCCCTGGCCGAGGTCCGAGCCCGGGAGCAAGAGAAAAGGAAAGCGGCGTCGCAGGAGCGGGAGGCCAAGGAGACCGAGCGAAAAAGGCGCAAGGCTGGTGGGGCCCGACGGAGCCCCCCGGGTCGGCCCCGCCTAGAGCCCCGCAATGCCCCTCGGGCGGCCCAGCCTGCAAGGCTTCTAGCTCTCTCACCGCCGGAGCGCCTGGGGCCGGTGGGGCGAGCGCCCCGTTCACCTGCGCAGCCGCACAGAGACCCAGGGTCAGCGTGGGCGGGGCCCTGGGGAGGTCGGAGGCCCGGACCCCCCAGCTACGAGGCTCATCTGCTGCTGAGAGGTTCTACTGGGACAGCCCCACGACGCCGCTGGGACCGGCCGCCACCCTATGTGGCTCCACCTTCTTACGAAGGCCCCCACAGGACCTTGGGGACTAAGCGAGGCCCAGCTCTCTCCCAGGCGCCCACTTTATCAGCCCCAGCTCCAACCCCAGCCAGGACAGAGGGAGGGCGCACAAAGAAGAGGTTGGATCCTCGAATCTATCGGGACGTCCTCGGGGCCTGGGGTCTCCGACAGGGGCAAGGTCTCTTGGGGGGATCCCCAGGCTGTGGAGCAGCCATAGCAAGGCCAGAGTTTGGCAAGGGGGCAGCGGAGAAAAGTGTGGGGCTTGCTGCTGCTGGCCTGAATAGTGGTAGCTACAGCCATTCCCAAGCCAAAGCTACAGGGCGCCCAAGCACCAAGACGGCTCCTTCAGGGTCTGCAACTGCGACTCCCAGCCCCCCACGTCCCACACCCAGGGCCAGGCAGCACCTCAAAGGCTCGAGGGAAGGGAAAGAAGGAAGAGAACCGATCTGGTTCCCCAAATGCTGGATTCCTTCCCCTAAAGGCTCCCTTAAAAGGCAGCCGGCCAGGCACAGCCAGACACTCCCCAGACCGTGGGCTCCAGGAGGCACAGGATGGAAGGAGTCCCTGGGATATAGGGAGGGGGTAGGACCCGAGGCCCTAGAGGGTTGGAAGACTACCCGCCGCGCCCACACCTTGCCTCGCAGCTCCCGAAGGCCGGCTCCTGGAGAAGGCGTCTTTGTCATTGACGCCACGTGCGTGGTGATACGATCCCAATATGTTCCGACCCCTCAAACCCAGCAGGTGCAGCTTCTGCCCTCTGGAGTGCCGCGTGTTGTGGGAGATGCCCCCAGCCAACCGAAGGCGGGTAAGGAGGAGGGCGAGGGGGCCACAGTTTCCCCCCCACCTTGCCAAAAGCTGCTGTTAAGCAGTCGCCTTTTACATCAGCCCGGCCAGGGGCTCGGGTGCGAAGCTGAGGGCGGGAAGCTGGGGGACACCTTACTGGAGGAGCGCGCCTCCCGTATTTTGGGGCTCCCGGTCGGTGAAGTAAATCTGCGGGACGCCCCCACGCAGCCAGGTACTCCAGAGCACCAAGCCCTAGGCCCGGCAGCTTTGGGTGGCATAGGCAGAACAGAGGGTTCGGAAGTGGTGGCGGTCCAATGGCGCGCTGGCCGGGGCTGGGCACGGAATCCAGGGCCCTATGCTGGGGCCCTGCGGGAAGCGGTGTCCCGCATCCGCCGCCACACCGCCCCGGACTCAGACACGGACGAAGCCGAGGAGCTCAGCGTCCATAGCAGCTCCTATGAAGGAAGCGACACAGAAGCCCCAGGCGCCTCCTGGCGGAATGAGAGGACCCTTCCCGGGGTTGGGAACAGCCAGGAAGGTGGGAAGACAGCTGAGCTGAGCGACAGTATTCAGGAGATTTTAGATGTTATCAGCCAAACAGAGGAGGCCCTCTTCAGGGCGAGGGACACCAAGGGGACCCCACAGGAAAATAGGGAGAGGCAGTGAGAGGCCCCTTTTTGTATTTGTGTGCCCCCAACGCATCCATCCGTGGGCTCACTGGTCCCTTTTCTTCCCCACAGATTTCCTTTGCTTCTCTTTTCCTTGTAGCACTAACCATTCCCATTCCCATACTTGAAATAAGAAAGGAAAGGGCCAGACACGGTGGCTGACGCCTGTAATCCCAGTACTTTGGGAGATTGAGGTATTGAAGATGAGTCTGGGCGATGCAACCAGATCCCTGTCTCTAAAAAAGAAAAAAAAAATTAGCCAGACCTGATGGTATGTGCCTGTTCTAGCTACTTGGGAAGCTGAGGTGGGAGGATCACTTGAGCTCAGGAGTTCAAAGTTACAGTGAACTATGATTGTACCACTGTACTCCAGCCTTGGCGACAGAGTGAGACCCTGTCTCTAAAAAGAAGAAGAAGAAGAAGAAGGAAATGCTGCATATGCCCATTGGTAATTTTGTTTCAGGAGAGATGAGGTTGAGCAATAGATTTAACGCCTGCCACACAGGGCACAAAAGTGACATCTTCAGCAAGGGTAGAGCTGAGCAGAGAGACCTAACCAGGATCAGGCAGGAGGGCAGGGATAGTGGCAGTCATAGGAGGGGCAATGGTAGGGCAGGGCCTCCGGGCAGGAAGGAGAAAGTGAGAGAGAGGGTCTGGATCAGATGACAGAGGATTTTGTGGCAGTAGAGAAATGGGTCCAGAAACAACTATCCAACCAGGAGGAGGGCTCACCTTGGTGTCAGTCTTGGATTTCAATCCCAATTCTGCCACTAATTTGCTGGTTGACCTTAGAGTAGTTACTTTCTTTCTCTAGGCCTTCTAGTGTGTAAAATGGTGGAGTTCTAAGGTCTGTCCTTCCATCCCTGACATTTTGGAATTTAGGGAGGCCTCTATCTCATCCTCCCCTCAACAAGCCAAGGAAGAGAGTTGGAAATAAGTGAACAGACTCTGCTTCTGGGGGGCCTCCTTGCAATCTGTAGTCATCTGTCATCTGTAGTTTTCAATTCAGGAGGACTGTCCAGGGTTTGCAGGAGAGTTGAGTGAGTGGGCAAAATGCTCTTATCCTTGTCTCCTCAGTTTAGGTGAGGGCTGCCCAAAGCAGGGCAAGATAGTGGTCCTGTCGCTTACCCTGGCCTGTGGTGGTCTGAGCTGGGGAGGGAAGGCATCCAGTGAATCAGCTTAGAACCTCTTTAGGCCTTCCCCTTTTATTCCTCCCCAGTGTTTCTCAGTAATTGCCTCAGGGGCTACCACGATTTCCCTTCCAGTGGTATTGCCCACCTCAAAGAACCCTGAGAATTTGTCCCATCTCTGCCTCTTCCAGAAAGCGACTAGGCAAGGAAGGAGGCTGGTCCCAAGAAGCCGGTAGGGTGTAATAATTGCTGTAGCCACTATGGGGCGCGCGCAGGTCGCAGATTTCCCCAGTTGCTAGTTCCACTATCCCAACACTGCCAATTAACACGATCCCCTAAATTACCTAGCGCGCTCGCCAGTTCCCCACCTTGCAACCTCCAGACTGCGGAGCCGGGAGCAGGCCTCCGGCCTCCCAGACCTCTGGAGAGGGCCGAGCCCCTCTTTGTACTCATCCACTCCAGCCAACTGACTTGGGACTCTGACACTGAAGTCTTTTTTCTCTCTGATTCTGCCATTTACTAGCTATGTGAACTTGGCCAAATCACTTCACCTCCCTGAGCCTCAGTTTCCTCATCTGTCAAATGGGGGTTTATAAACACCTACCTCGCAGGGTTGTTGTGAGGACTTAATGCGATAATGTATGTAAAGCGCCTTGCACAGTGCCTGGCACACAGTAGGCGCTCAATAAATCTAAACTTCCCTTCATCCAGCCTTGAGATTGTCTTCCTTTCACTGATACTTTCTCCACAGTGTCCCTCCCCCAGGACACCTCTGCTCTTTCCTGGTGGTGTGAGGGGGAGGGGAACTTATTTCTCCTGGCCCATCCCTGTCTCCCCCAGCCAGGCTCTCCCTTCCTTGCCCCCCACCTTACCCACACTGGCTCTTCCCACTGCCCCATCTCATTCCCCCCACCCCCCATTCCGGGCAAAGGCTGAGTCAGCCAGGGTAAATTTAGCTGCTGGCTGGGCAGGGTCAGGGGCTTTGGCTAGACTCAATGGAGTCCCAGCCTGGCCTCCCAGCCTCTCCTCTGCTCCTACTCCCAGTGAGTCCCACCAGCTCCAACTCCCGCTCAGTGTTCAGGTCCCCAACCAGCTCTCAAACCACTTACCAGTTTAGTCTCCAATTATCTCAACCTACTCCCCACTGGCACCCAGAGAGACTCTGAGCAGGACTCAGGCAGGACTGCCTCAGATGACAGATGCTGAGCTGGGCTAGCTGGCCTTGGTTCAGCAGGGGAGGGTCTTCTCTTTTAGTTTCTGAACCTGAGGGGAGAGCATTGGTCAGAGCTCCCTGGGTAGGTCCATCCCAGAACTTACCTGGAACCCCTACTACCAGGTTCAAGTTAACTCTTGCTGGAGAAGGTAAAGGAAGAGGGGGCACCTTGGACAGAGGTCAAATGTTCCTGAGGTCTGTCTCCCTTCCACTACAATTCAAATTAACTACCATCAATTCTAACTGCTGAATGTTTACTGAGTGCCTGCTGTGAACAGAAGCACTGTACTGGTCTCTAGGATAGAGAAGAATGAGTAAGGCCAGCTTGACAATGGGATGATGAGGAAAATACAGAAATGATAGCAGTGAGTGTTAAATACTGTAAGGAGTCAAACAAGGAGACTTGTGTGGATTTTAGGCGATCAGAGAAGGCTCCGTGGAGAAGGGGGTATCTAAGATAGAATTTGGTGAAAGCGCATTTCAAATAGAACAGCAAAAATAGAAGCATGAATACTGGGAACAGGGTATGTTTAGGAAACTACCCAATGGTCCGGTTTGACTGTAGGTGAAAGTACATTTGGGAGTTTTGTGGAAGGTAAGGCAGGAGTGAAAACTGAGGTCAGATTGGGGTGAACTTGGTTGAACTGAGGAGTGTGTGCCTCAGACCTCCAGGCTTACAAAGAGGATGTACTTCAGGCAAAGAAGAAAGTTGAGGAAGGCCAGGGCAGTGGTGACAGCATTTGCCTGGATTTGCTTATAGCCCAGGGCTCCAGGCCTCTGGAACTGATAGAAGAGGAATGGCAGAGGGACTGGCCCTGTGTGGGTGAGCTCTACCATGCTGCATGACCCCCTTTGAGGATGAATGTACAGTTTCTAAGAGCTTACCACACTGCTACCATTGTTAGAGAACTAAGGCAATGTGTTTAGAACATGGACTCTGAGGCCTGGCAGCCTGTGTTTAAATTTTGCATCTACCTCATACTAGCTGTGTGACCTTGGGCAAGTTACTCAATCTTTCTGTGCCTTAGTGTCCTCGGTGTCCTTATAAAATGAGATTATTAAACGCACTTCTCAGCCAGGCACAGGGGTTCACACCTGTAATCCTAGCACGCTGGGAGGCCAAGGAAGGAAGATTGGTTGATGTTAGGAGTTGGAAGACTGATTGAAGTCAGGAGTTCAAGACCTGCCTGAGCAAGACCCCATCTCTACAAAAACATTTTAAAAAATTAGCTAGGCGTGCTAGGACATGCCTTAGTCCTAGCTACTCAAGAGGCAGAGGGAGGAAGATCTCGCAAGCCCTGGAGTTTGAGGATGCTGTGAACTATGATGACGTCCTTGCACTCTAGCCAGAGCAACAGAGCAAGTCTCTATCTCAGGAAAAAAAAAAGAATTCTAAGACTAGAATGTGAACATTTTAAAGCAATAACTGAGAAAATGACATGAAGGCTGTGTTGACCAGTTTGATGGAAGTATTTCAGATTGCATGTGAAAACCCTACACTGTACCCCAGAAGTGCATTAGTGTACATAGTTATCATTCAATAAAAAAAAATTTAAAAAAAAAAAAAAAGAAAAAAAAAGAAAAGTTCTCTCTTCCGGTTGCTGGGAGGATTAAATAATTCAATATGTGGAGTCCTTAGAACAAAGCCTGCTGGGTACATGGTAAATGATATGTGTTAGCTCTGGTTATTATTATTACTATTTCTAGGGCTGTTTCATTAGTGGTGGGGTATGAGAATAGAAGGATGAGGAAGAGATAAACAAATAGGGGAGGAGGAGGCCAGGAGTCCCTTGAAAGAGTGACTGGTATACTGGAGGCACTTGGGTGGTTAGGGTGTCAATGTAGCCTACTCCCTCCCTAAGAACTTCCTCTATCTTTGCCTAAGGATAGAGTCAGCATAAGCTGCCAAAGTTCTGGGGAGACAGAGAGAAGAAGGGGAGGAGTGACTGAGGGCCAGCCCCTGGTGAGCCCTATCTCAGACTGGCCCTGCAGGGCCCGTGGGTGGGAGGCTGGAGGCTCCCTGCTGTGAAAATGACTTCTAATTCTGGCTGTGTCTGCCAGTCAGCCAGTCTTGAGACAGAGGCCACAACCACCCCCCACCTTGGGACAGCCTCAATGGTCAGGAGTAGGGACAGCAGACACAGGAGGATGTGGTCAGTTTAGGGCAGCAGACCTCAGATTAGCACAGGACCCTTCCCAACAGCCAGGTTCTTCCCAGGGAAGCCCTTTCCTACCCCACATAGGGCCCAGTTAACATGGCTTTAGAGGAGCCAAAAACCCTCTCCCTCTTTCAGACACTCAGGAGAACCCAGGGCTTCCCTGGATCATCCACAAATGGGTGGAAGGAAATGAGAACCAGGCCATAACTCTGGGACTTCAGAGGGTTGGGAGAGTGAGTGTG